CGTGAGCGGCGCCAAGCCTGGCAAGAAGACCCGCGGTCGCGTCAAGATCAAGATGGAATTTATCGACAACAAGCTGCGGCGCTACACCACGTTCAGCAAGAGGAAGACGGGCATTATGAAGAAGGTACCGCGGCTGGGGCGTGGGGGACGGGCCGCCTTCCAGGATCGTCGTTCGGGGTGGCGGGAGGCGGCGGTCGCAGCCAGTCCTGGGGCTCTGAGCGGAGGGGCGGTATTTTCCGTGCAGGAAGAAAGGGGCTGGAGTTCCCAGCTGCTTCTCGGCCGCCAGCCCCAAACGCGGTGTGGACAGCGTGGCTGGGATGGGAGAGCGCTCTTAACACGCTTAGGGGAACCGTTTTAGCTCCACGTGTTCTTCACGCGTCCTGACATTTGCAGCAGCAGCAGCAGCGGGCGCCGAGTTGCTTGTCCAGCGCAGCCCTGTGGCCGCCTCTAACCGAAGGATCGGGCTGGTATTGATACCGGAAGGGGAGACAGGCACAGGCCTACCTATCAGCCGCTCTCGCACCGGAAAGGCACGCCCCATTCCGGCCCGGATTCACCTCGAGGCAGACCCCGCGGGAGCGGCCTTTAGTTCCAATGCTGCGAAAAGGCGGTAGGGGTGAAGCGCTGCGCTGGGCTAGCCCCAGGCGGAAGGCTGGTCTCGGTTCCGAGCTGAGCCTGTTCCACTGGAATACCCCGCACTCCTCGCCCCTCTCTGTCCCCGGCCCGGGAAACTGGGGCAGCGCTCCCCAAACACGGCTATAGAGACCTGAGCTCCACTGAGGTTAATGGATGTGCTTTTTTCTGAGTCTTAAGGGGGAGGATCTGGCCGACAAGTTGGAAATGCCACAGTTCTGTCAAGCTGCAGGAGGGGAATGAATGATAAGCATGTGCCCAAACCGGTGCCTTCACTGGTTCCTTAACTTACTTTGCTTAGCATCATCTAGAATTTCTCTGGATTAATTTTGAAGAGGACATTGATAAGACTTGTGCCCTTGTTTTCTTCAAGGGGCTCTGTTCCCAGTTCAGAGTGCATAGGATTGCAACCTTAGATAACTAAGGAGCTGAAGTTGCAGTGGGCTCCACTTATTGTAGCTTATGCTTATGTCAGGATGTGGGTATTGGAGGAACTAAATCTCCAGGTGGTGTTAAAACCAACAGCGATGCTAGTGTTCTCTGACAAGCATTGTGATATTTCAGGAGTCGCTATTAGACTTAAATCAGGGCAGTTAATAGGCTCTGTGCTCTACTAACCATAGCGTTGAACTACAGAATAATTGCAAAACAAACTGTAAAAAAACAAAAATCAAACTAGCATAAGAAACAATGTGCTAAACGTTTGTCCAGCTTGATGGAAAATATATTTTTTAACAACATTACAGCTATTGTTGGAACTGGATAAAACTAATTTTTAATTAATTTATTTATTTTTTTGCTTTGGTTGGCTGAATGGTCACCTGTTTAAAACTTTCAGACAATTAAAAAAAAACCACACACCTTCAAATATGATCTTGGGCCTTCTGGATGTTTTGGGCTATTACTTCCAGCCAGTATGTCCAACATGAAGTGCAAGGAATTGGTGACTTCCAGATGTGTTGGACTATAACTTAGCGATGGCTGTAGTAGTCTGGGATGCTGGGCATTCTTTATTTATACATTTGGCTCTGTTTATAGTGTCTTGGAGAGACTTTCTTTAAAATAAGAATGTATGGTCTAGGGTGGTCTAAAGTTTCTGATCTTGTGCAAATCTGATTCCTTATTCAGTCCAGCTGTCATTGATGTTGGCTTCACACAGTATGCTAAGCCATTGTTGTTTAATTAGGGGGTTTTAAACCACAATTGGCTGAATTCACTTAATGCCAAATGGCACAATAATACCAAGACTTAAACTGTTGTTTATAAACCACAGTGGCTGAATTCACACTACTTTCTAATTTAAAACCAAATAAAATTGTGTTGTAGCTTGATGGGTTGGTGAAAGAGGCTAGTATCTTGTGTTGTCAGGAAATCACTTCCTGTTCATACTGCGGCTTCTATCTTTCTTAGAATCTGGAAAGAGACCTTGATACTTTGACTACCCCATTGGATGGAGATGAGGGCTCCAGTGTCCAACATGGAAGCAATCATTCTCTCTGATCTAGGCTAACCCTGATTTCCCCAATGTGGTGTCCTCTCATGATATCTGAAAATTATTTGGTTGGAGAAGTCTGGGTTAGCCTATGTTAGGAGGCAGTGAAAAAATATATATTTTATAATATTGTGTTTATCATTATTTTGAGTAGCTTGGGGATTTTTAAAAATAAGTAGCATACAAATATTTTAAATATTAATTTTATATTTTGCTGGCCATTGCAACAACGTTGTATGAGCCTGACCACTGTCATTTGAAAACCATGGTTTGTAGCTTACTGCAGTATATGCACCTAGCTATTTGGGGTTATTCAGCAAATGATGAGCAAACCATGGTGTCGTGCAGCAGTTTTCATCTGATGTGCCGTGGCAGGTCCGCAGGTGTGCCGCATCAGCCAGAATCCTGCCTCCCATGGCATCACCGGGGCAGACTGCCTCCCTTTCCCCTCCCGAGCGCCAGCAATCTGTGACATCACGGGACTTCCGGTTCACGACCCAGAAGTCCCGCCTATCAGATGTGTGCCGTGAGATGAAAAAGGTTGAAAACCTCTGGTGTAGTATAATACGCCAACTCAGCTACAATAAATTGTTTCTTGCGTTGTGTCAAAAAGGCATTTGCAGATATTTTATCTTGAGTCAATATTGGTCTGGTCAGTGCACACAGTTTAGTAATAAAATAGCTGCACATTGTAGTGTTGCCAGTCTAAAATGACGCAGAAGGCGCACATATATAAAAGCAGCTATTAGGTCATGAACTTGCATATACCTGTTGCCTGCAGCCTGACTCAAGAAAGGGTGCACATTTGTAGAGACCTGATGCTTTCTTGTCAGGATGAAGGGAAGACCAATATGTCCCTTCCAGGGCTACACTGAATTACCGACAGTTGGGAGATACCATGCTGTTGATTAATTTAGCCTTCCAACATACTTGGTCAGTTTTATTTTAAAAGCCAAAACAGTTTCCTGAGCAACTGAAAATGATTAGATATAGCTAAGACCCTGTCTGCAAGTTTATAATCTAAAAGACAAAGAAAAAAGAGAAGGAAAAGAAAATGCAGCATTAGTTCTTAAAGTTTTCGTTCATATTGGGGAAGACTTGAAACCGTTTAGAGAGTCAAACGGAATGGCTGCTGTCAAGGTGGCAAGAGCCGTTGGTAGCTGATGGAATAAGCCTGTGGGATACAAAATAGCCTAAAATTCTCACCCACACTCTAAAATGGCTGGGCTCTGGTTTGGTGCAGGGGGCTGTACTTAACATTTTGGGGCGAGGTGAAGGGCTGCAGTTGATGGCAGAGTAATGGAAGGGTGGGGCAGAGTGATGTATGGCAGGACAGGGATTTTCTGTTTTTCCCGAGGTTAGAGTGGAATCTTGCAGGGGTGTGGATCTTTGTTTTGAAAGTATTATGCCTAATTTAAGTCTTGTGTTTTCTACCTTGAAATGTTGAAAAATCAAGGGTGTTAGTTTTCAAAAAACTATAAAAAAGGAGGTTGCAGTATCTTCTCAGCTTTAAAAGTAACTCCATTCACATAATCCTGATGCTATTGCTAAGCTTAGGCGGCCTAAACTTAAAACACAAGGCTCCTTACCTATTGAGGCTCCTGGATTCCATAAAAAGCATGAATTCTTGTCCATGGACTTCTAATCTAAATTTCCATGGAGAGCATGCCCTGGGTATAACCTAATGGGATCCCCAGGAAAAAGCAGTGCTGGCTAGTAAATGCTCGAGCTTTTTTGTTCGTCCTTCTTTTTCACATTAACTCACACAGAGCCAACAAGTGGAAGAGTGGCTCAGCTGATGGAACTCCTGGGTGACCTCGTCCTAGCTCTGAGGCTAAGCAGGGTCGGGCCAAACTAGTTCTTGGCTTGGAGACTACCAGGGGAAACCAGGGCTGTTACTTAGACTGGGAAGTTGGAGCCATCTTGGAAGAAGGCCATGGCAAGCCACTTCTGTATTCTGGCCAAGAAAAGTGCATGATGGGTCTGTAAAGTCACCAGGAATTGAAACTGACTCAGAGGAGACTTTTCCTTTTTATATAGCCATCATCTAGCAAATTGTAAAAATCATGCTGGATTGCAGCAGAAAAGGGATGGCTTACTTGTATACAGCTGCATAACAGTGCTGGGTGATCTGTCTGACATGTTCACATTGCCAGTTAAACATTCTATAGTGAGTTTGTAGTTATTCATCGTTGAAGAAGTAATGCTTTGGGCTAGGGCCATTGTGTGCATGCAGATTTTTCAATACCACCCAAGACTATATTTTCCAGAATTCCGTGAGGGGTGATCTGTTCAAAAACTGGCTTTATGTTTGTGTTATATGTGTTCCCTGAGTTGCTGTGCCTATGCACATCTCTTGGTTTAATTGTGCCTGCTTAGGAAACAGTAACAAGTACATAAAAGCAGATGATAGCTCTGCCTAAAGTATGCAGGTACTGCAGTCTGGATCTCAGCATGTGTATATTTTTTCTCCCCCTCTCTCACATATACACACACATAATCATCATGCTGTTCTTTTCAGGGTAAACAACATTATGCAAGGTACAGAAGAAGAATGAGAAATGGTGGACAAAAAAAGTTAAAGGCAGGACATTAAAAAAAGGAAATCTAACTTTAGTTTATATTTATACCATTTGTTCTACCTATCCATACCTTTTTGTCTTTGCAAACCATCCCTGCTTCTACTGTGACCACATATTACTTTGTACATTGCCTTTTGTTCCTTAAACTGTTCTTTTTTAGAGAGGTCATCAATCTAATCAAGCCATGATTTTTGTGTCTTCCTTTTCTCCTTGACCCATTCATTCTTCTCTCATATTTTTCTCTCTTTCTGTATGTCCAAACCACCTCAACATACTTCTGCCCATCTGGTTGCTATTTTTTGTATTCAGTCCACATTAACTCAGCACCCATCCATTCTTGATCCAATCTCTTCTTACTTAACCATACACGATCCTTAAGTAACCTACTCCCACTGCACTCAACTTTATATTTCTCTT